TCGCACTGCGTCTTCCTTCCTAGCAGAAAGGTTGGAATGGATGACCTCTGGGTCCCTTTCAGGTCGGGGATTCTATGATATATCTATCTGCCATCCATTTCTCAATCATATCATATCACTCGTTGGCTGGAGGGACATCTGCCAGGAGGGATCGGACTGTGATTTCCTGCTGGGAGGTCGGACTGGATGGCTTCTGGGGGTCCCTTCAAGGTCTAGGATTCTATATATATCTGCCATCCATCTCTCAATAATATCTACAATCACCTACCTATGGCTTGAGGGTCATCTGCTGGGAGGGATCGGACTGTGTCTTCCTTCCTAGCTGAAAGGAGGTTGGACTGGATGGTCTCTCGGGGTCCCTTCCAGGTCTAGGATTCTATGATATATCTATCTGCCACCCATTTCTCAATTATATCATATCACTCGATGGCTGGAGGGCCATCTGCCGGGAGGGATCGGACTGTGATTTCCTGCTGGGAGGTTGGATTGGATGGCCTCCTTCCAGGTCTAGGATTCTATATATATCTACCACCCATCCCTCAATAATATCTACAAGCAACTACCTATGGCTTGAGGGTCATCTTCCGGGAGGGATTGGACTGAGTCTTCCTTCCTAGCAGAAAGGAGGTTGGATTCGATGGGTCTCTCGGGTAGTCCCTCCCAGGTCTAGGATTCTATATCTATCAGCCATCTCTCTCTCAATCATATCTATGACCATCGATTTATGGCTGGAGGGCCATCTGCCGGGAGGGATTGGACTGTGCCTTCCTTCCAAGCAGAAAGAAGATAGGACTGGGTGGCCTCTGGGGGTCCCAGGTCTAGGATTCTATGATATATCTACCTACCATCCATCTCTCAATCATATCATATTGATTTATGGCTGGAGGGCCATCTGCTGGGAGGGATCGCACTGTGATTTCCTGCTGGGAGGTTGGATTTCAGGTCTAGGATTCTATATATATCTGCCACCCATCCCTCAATAATATCTACAACCAACTACCTATGGCTTGAGGGTCATCTGCTGGGAGGGATTAGACTGTGTCTTCCTTCCTAGCAGAAAGGAGGTCGGACTCAATGGTCTCTCGGGGAGTCCCTTCCAGGTCTAGGATTCTATATCTATCAGCCACCTCTCTCCCAATCATATTGATTTATGGCTGGAGGGCCATCTGCTGGGAGGGATCGGACTGCGATTTCCTACTGGGAGGTTGGACTGGATGGCCTTTTGGGTTCCCTTCCAACCCGATGGTTCTACAGCTTTTGGGTCAAGCTATCTGCTTGGATCTTGCAAGGGAAAAGGCAGAGGAGCGAAGGAACCCAAACGAACGGAGGAGATTCCCTCCTCCGCCTGCTCTGCAAACATTAGCTCATCCACGTATTGGAGCAGGCTCCCTGCAGGGCCCCTTCCATCAGAGCGAGTGACAGATGAAAGGGACCCCGGAGAAGAAAGGAAGGAAGAAGAACAAGGAAGGAGGAGGAGGAGGAGGAGGAGGAGGCGGCGGCAAAAGTTCCCCACCTGGCTTTCTCCGACTTCTTCTTCTCTCCTCCCATCAAGACGCCAGGCACGATCCAGGTGAAGGGCTGAAAGGTGAAGAGCAAAAAGCAAGGCTTCAATGGACCCCGTTTTGTGGGGAGGAAACCCCACAGGTACTTGAGGGGCCCCCACAAGCCCTCCTGGCACTCTTCTCCTCACCTTCAACAACTTCTGGATGGTCTCAAAGCTCTGAAGGGCCAGCTGCAGGAAGAAGAGAATGGAAACAAACAGGAAGGAGGGTTTCAAAAGTGTTTTTCCTGTCTGGCAGGAGGGGGCGGGACTGGATGGCCTCTAGGTGTCCCTTCCAACTCTTTGAGTCCAATAATAACCATTATAATAGATAATATAATAATAATAATAATTCTATTTTTCTGCCTGGCAGGAAGGGGCAGTAATAATAATAATAATAATAATTATTATTATTATTCTGGGTTGTTGTAGGTTTCTTTCGGGCTATCTGGCCATGGTCTAGAGGCATTCTCTCCTGACGTTTCACCTGCATCTATGGCAAGCATCTTCAGAGGCAGTGACCTCATTGCCTCTGAGGATGCTTGCCATAGATGCAGGCGAAATGTCAGGAGAGAATGCCTCTAGACCATGGCCAGATAGCCCGAAAAAAACCTACAACAACCCAGTGATTCAGGCCATGAAAGTCTTTGACAATACAATAATAATTCTATTTTTCTGCCTGGCAGGAAGGGGCGGGTCTAGATGGCCTCTGAGGGTCTCTTCCAAATCTGAGTCCAATAATAATAATAATAATAATAATAATAATTCTATTTTTCTGCCTAGCAGGAGGGGGTGGGAACGGATGGCTTCTGAGGTTCTCTTCCAACTCTTTGAGTCCAATAATAACAATAACAATTTAATAGATAATAATAATAATAATAATAATAATAATAATAATAATAATTCTATTTTTCTGCCTGGCAGAAGGGGGGGGGGGTGAATGGATGGCCTCTGGGTTTCCCTTCCAACTCTTTGAGTCCAATAATAACCATTATAATAGCTAAAATAATAATAATAATAATAATAATAATAATAATAATAGTTCTATTTTTCTGCCTGGCAGGAAGGGCCGGGACTAGATGGCCTCTGAGGGTCTCTTTCAACTCTGAGTCCAATAATAATAATAATAATAATAATAATAATAATAATTCTATTTTTCTGCCTGGCAGAAGGAGGTGTGAATGGATGGTCTCTGGGTGTCCCTTCCAACTCTTTGAGTCCAATAATAATAATTATAAAAGATAATATAATAATAATAATTCTATTTTTCTGCCTGGCAGGAAGGGGTGGGACTAGATGGCCTCTAAGGGTCTCTTCTTTAAGGGTCTCCTCTTTGAGTCCAATAATAGTCTCTGAGGGTTTCCTCTTTGAGTCCAATAATAACCATTATAATAGCTAATATAATAATAATAATAATAATAATAATAATAATAATAATAATAATTCTATTTTTCTGCCTGGCAGGAAGGGCCGGAACTAGATGGCCTCTGAGTGTCTCTTTCAACTCTGAGTCCAATAATAATAATAATAATAATAATAATAATAATAATAATAATTCTATTTTTCTGCCTGGCAGAAGGAGGTGTGAATGGATTGTCTCTGGGTGTCCCTTCCAACTCTTTGAGTCCAATAATAATCATTATAAAAGATAATATAATAATAATAATTCTATTTTTCTGCCTGGCAGGAAGGGGTGGGACTACATGGCCTCTAAGGGTCTCTTCTTTGAGGGTCTCCTCTTTGAGTCCAATAATAACCATTATAATAGCTAATATAATAATAATAATAATAATAATAATAATAATAATAATTCTATTTTTCTGCCTGGCAGGAAGGACCGGGACTAGATGGCCTCTGAGGGTCTCTTTCAACTCTGAGTCCAATAATAAAAATAACAATAATAATAATAATAATAATAATAATAATAATAATTCTATTTTTCTGCCTGGCAGAAGGAGGTGTGAATAGATGGCCTCTGGGTGTCCCTTCCAACTCTTTGAGTCCAATAACAACCATTATAATACCTAATATAATAATAATAATAATAATAATAATAATAATAATAATAATTCTATTTTTCAGCCTGGCAGGAGGGGGCAGGACTGGATGGCTTCTGGGTGTCCCTTCCAACTCTTTGAGTCCGATAATAATCATTATAATAATATAATAATAATAATTCTATTTTTCTGCCTGGCAGAAGGGAGTGGGATTTGACCGGAGGGCCTCTTGGAGTCCCTTCCAACTCCAGGATTGCTTAGTTCAGTGTGAACTTTAACTCCAAATTGTAGGGTCTACTTTTCATAGGAAGGGTGCCTGCCTTTTCCCTTCCCTGTCGACCCCAAATATCCATCCTAAAGCAGGGACGCTCCCAAAGCGAGAGACATCCTCTGCACCGTCCCCACCCATGATCCAAAGCAGGAGGAGCCCCAGAGCAAAGAGAGCGCACGAATGGCACCCAACTTACCTCTCGGGTGGGAACCAGTATGAGCGCGTAGGGCCCATCGCTGCGCTGTGGGAAGAAGGGAAACAGAAGAGGAGACAGTAAGAAAACAGGTCAACAGGGGAATAGATTGCTTTGGAGGGTCTTCAAGCAGAGGCTGGATGGCCATCTGTTGGGAGGGTTTTGATGGGGACTTCCTGCATAACAGAATGGGGTTCAATTGGATTGGCTCCCTGGGGTCTCTTCCAGCCCTAGGATTTATGATATACCAATTGTATATATATCTCAAGCGTATCTATCGTTAGATGGCCATCTGTTGGGAGGGCTTTGATGGTGGCTTCCTGCATAATAGAACGAGGTTCGAATGGATGTCCTTTGGGGGTCTCTTCCAACTCTAGGATTCTATGATATACCTGTCATTCATTCATATATATCATATCATATATCCATGGCTGGATGGCCATCTGTCAGGAGGGTTTTGATGGTGTCCTCCTTCTTGACATGAATAGGGTTGGACTAGAGGGCGCTTGAGGTCTCATTCAACTCTACGATATACCTATTATATATCTAAATCTAATCATCTATCTACCGATATCATATCTATCATATCCATGGCTGGATGCCTATTTATCAGGAGGGCTTTGATGATGTCCTCCTGCTTGACATGAATAGGGTTGGACTAGAGAGTGACTGGGGACCCATCCAACTATTATATATACCTATTATATATCTATATCTATCTGTATCATATCTATCATATCCATGGCTGTATGGCCATCTATCAGGAGGGCTTTGATGGTGTCCTTCTGCTTGACATGAACAGGGTTGGATGAGAGGGCGCTTGGGGTCTCATCTAACTCTATGATATATCTATTATATATCATATCTATCATATCCATGGCTGGATGGCCATCTATCAGGAGGGCTTTGATGGTGTCCTCCTACTTGACATGAATAGGATTGGACTGGAGGGCTCTTGGGGGTCATATCTGACTCTACAATTTTATGATATTTATATAAATAAAAATGTAATGTTAGTTCGCGCTACCATCAGAACTCAAAAACCACTGGGGGAATTGACACCAAATTTGGACACAAGACACCTAACAGTCCAATATATGTCCTCCACTCAAAAAAATTGATTTTCTCATTTGGGAATTGTCGTTACTGGGATTTATAGTTCACCTACAATCAAAGAGCATTATGAACTCCACCAATGATGGAATTGAATCAAACTTGGCACACAGGACTCCCCTGACCAACAGAAAACACCAGAAGGGTTTGGTGGGCATTGGATTTTGGAGTTGTAGTACACCTACATCTAGAGTGAACTGTGGACTCAAACAGTGATGGATCTGGACCAAACTTGGCACACATACTTAATATGCCCAAATATGAACACAGATGGAGTTTGGGGGAAATAGACCTTGACATTTGGGAGTTGTAGTTACTGGGATTTATAGTTCACCTACAATCAAGGAGCATTTTGAACCCCACCAACGACAGAATCGGGGCAAACTTCCCACACTGAACCCCCATGACCAACAGAAAATACTCAAGGCCATCCAATCCAACTCCCTTCATCAGGGCAAGAAAACATAATCATAGTCCTCGTGACAAAGAGCCATCCAGCCAGAGAGAGAGAGAGAGATAGGGAGTTATAGTTGCTGTGATTTCTAGTTTACCTACAACCAAATAGCATGATAGAATTGAACCAACCGGGGCATACAGAACTTCTATGATCAAAAGAAAACACTAGAAGGGTTTAGTGAGCATTGATCTTGAGTTTGGGAGTTGTAGTTTACCTACATCCAGAGACTACCATGGACTCAAACTATGATGAGTCTGGACCAAACTGCCACAAGGACTCAATATGGCCAAATATGAACACAGATGGAGTTTGAGGGAAATAGACCTTGACATTTGGGAGTTGCAGTTACTGGGATGTATAGTTCACCTATAATCAAAGAGCGTTCTGAACCCTACCAACGACAGAATTGGGCCAAACTTCCCACACAGAACCCCCATGACCAACAGAAAATACTCAAGGTCATCCAGTCCAACTCCCTTCACCAGAGCAAGAAAATATAATCAAAGCCCTCCTGACAAAGAGCCATCCAGCCATAGATATAGGTAAATATTATTCACACATACACAGATATATCATAGATTTGAAAGGGACCCCTGAAGAAGGACAATTATATGTTGCATGTTCCAGAGTAGGCAAACCAGACACTCTCCGCATCACCACTGACAAAGAAACAGCAAGAAATACTGTTTACCCAAAAGCAGAAAGAAATTACATATATTAGAAACCATTACTTGATTTTCCAGATCACCAGACTGGGCCACAGCAACATGTGGCAGGGGACAGCTAGTATATATATATATATATATATAGAGAGAGAGAGAGAGAGAGAGAGAGCACCTGTCGGGGGTGCTTTGATTGTGCTTTTCCATCCTGGCAGAAGGGGGTCAGATTGGATGGCCCTTGGGGGTCCCTTCTGGCTGCTCAAGGAAAGCGGAAGAAAGGGGAAGTGGGCTGCAAACACACCTGAATCTTGGGCTCCAGGCCTTGCAAAGACTGCACCAAAGGGATCCCATAGGCCAGCGTTTTGCCTTCAGAACAGAAAAGAAACATGATTTGGCTTCATCATCTTCTTATTGTAAGCAATGGGAGAGATGTTTGGAGAGGAAGGTTGGAGGGAAGGCCCAAGGGAACCCACCTGAGCCAGTCTGGGACCTCACCAGGGCGTCTCTCCCTTGCAAGAGGACGGGAATTGCCTGCTTCTGGATGCTTCGCAGGCAGCCATGTTGGAAAAGAAAGGGGGGAAACCAGAGAAATGAGACTTAAGGAAAGAAAGAACTCAGTCACTTCAATGTCAGTTAAGTACTTGGATGGCCAGCAAAGTGTTTACCTGGTCAAGCTGGACAGTTTCAGGACAGAGGTGATTGTTGAAACCTACAGAGACAAAGCAATGCAAACACACATGTCTCAAGACAGGAGAGAAATAATAGCCATCACGACAATCATAAATGATTGGCCCTCCTTTAATAATAAATGGACTGCATGCCTCAAATAAATAATAATAATAATAATAATAATAATAATAATAATAATAATAATAATAATAGTAAGGCCCAGGACTAATAATAACAACAATAACAAATGTATTGGCCAATAATAATATCAACAATAATAAATGTATTGCCTACATAATAATAATCATAATAATAATCATAATAATAATAATTGTATTGTGCATCCTAATAAATCCTTAATAATAATAATCTATATAAATAAAAATGTAATGCTCGTTTGTGGGATTAACATAACTCAAAAACCACTGGATGAATTGACACCAAATTTGGACACAGGACACCTAACAACCCAATGTATGTCCTTCACTCCAAAATCCACAAGCATGTGGACAATCTCAACAGAAAGGAGGAAACCATGAAAATGAACAAAATCTGGCTACCAGTATTAAAAAAAAACTCTAAAATTACAACAGCTAAACATCAGAGGGTAAACAATCAGGGACATCTAATCACCTCTCAACAAAAGATTGCCCCAGGCACTGCCAGGCCATCAAATGCTAATCAAGGTGGTCAGTTGAAACATTCACACCTAGCTCCAGCAGACAAGAGTCCTTTGCCCCACCCTGGTCATTCCACAGATATATAAACCCACTTTCCTAGTTCCAACAGACCTCACTACCTCTGAGGATGCTTGCCATAGATGCAGGCGAAACGTCAGGAGAGATTATTATTATTATTATTATTATTATTATGGCCATATAGCCCGAAAAAACCTACAACAACTCAATAATAATAGTATTTACCAGCTCTAATAATAATAGTAAATGTATTGCCCACCTTTAATCATAATAATGCCCACTCATTATGATTACGATTATTGCTACTAGTAATAGGCAATACAATAATAATAATAATAATAATAATACTTTTATTATTATCTGCCTCTTCTTGTGGCTTGAGGTGGAGCACAACAAGAGAAAACAAAACGCTATTTAAAAAATACACATAAATATACACAGGTAAAATATACAGATTCTATCTCACTGGAGCATTGCAGCGCACCCAAATACCTGGGAGTCACTCTGGACCGTGTTCTTACCTACAAGAAGCACTGCCTGAACATCAAGCAAAAAGTGGGTGCTAGAAACAATATCATACGAAAGCTGACTGGCACAACCTGGGGATCACAACCAGACACAGTGAAGACATCTGCCCTTGCGCTGTGCTACTCTGCTGCTGAGTATGCATGCCCAGTGTGGAACACATCTCACCACACTAAAACAGTGGATGTGGCTCTTAATGAGACATGCCGCATTATCACAGGGTGTCTGCGCCCTACACCACTGCAGAAATTACACTGCTTAGCCAGTATTGCACCACCTGACATCCGCCGGGAAGTAGCAGCCAATAGTGAAAGGACCAAGGCAGAGACATCTCCAGCTCATCCCGTGTTTGGGTATCAGCCAGCACGTCAACGACTTAAATCTAGACATAGTTTTCTAAGATCTACAGAGACACTCGCTGGAACACCTCAGCAAGCGAGAGTCCAAAAGTGGCAGGCTCAAACCCAGCACCTCAACCAATGGCTGATACCAATGAGAGACTCCCTCCTGGGCACACAGAAGACTGGGCGACTTGGAAGGCACTGAACAGACTGCGCTCTGGCACCACGAGATGCAGAGCCAACCTTCAGAAATGGGGCTACAAAGTGGAATCCTTGGCATGCGAGTGTGGAGAAGAACAAACCACTGACCACCTGCTGCAATGCAACCTGAGCCCTGCCACATGCACAAGGGAGGACCTTCTTGCGGCAACACCGGAAGCACTCCAAGTGGCCAGATACTGGTCAAAGGACATTTAACCAACTACCAAACTCACAAGATGTGTATTTTTCTGTCTGTTTGCTTTGTTCTGTTAGAAATGTAATATATAATGGACTGGTTGCTCTGACACGACAAATAAATAACCTCACTAGGAATCCCCAGCAGATGTTTGCTTCAACTCCCACCATTCCTAACAGCCTTCCGGCTGTTAGGAATGGTGGGAGTTGGAGTCCAAAACACCTGGAGGGAGGGCCCAAGTTGGCCCCAGGCCTAGCAACTATGGCAGCCATGGCTCTGACCAGGTGTGGATGGAGGCCCAGCTGGTCAAAGGAGTCCGAGGTGAAGACCTTCTCCTGCACTTGCTGCACCGGGATTCTGCAAAGGAAAAGGAAAAGGTCCATTATTACAAATACATCCTGAAGGGAGGGGGTCAAACAAGCTGAAATGAATCCCGCAAAATCAGACTGGCTGATGGCTTGGTTACATTATCAGCTTCTCGTGAGTGTTTTAAAATCTATCGTTTTTTAAGAAAGGAAATACCTCTTGATCTCGGGAATTTCGGGATTATTCCGGAAGAGGCTGGAGGTTTTCACAGTACTGCTGCCTCCGTTGTCCTTGCTTCCTTTCCCTTCGTTTGGGGGCTTCTTCAAAGCAGAGGCTGGCGGTCTGGAGCCCTGGGGCAAAAGCATGCCCTTCCTCTTCCTCTTCCTTTGGGGCGAAGGAAGCTTCCTCTTTGGGGGAACCACTTCCTGCGGAGGATCCAGGCTCCTTTTAATGGCACCCTGCAAGGAGAGAAGAGCGGGAGGAACACAATTCAAGAAGCAGGCAGAAATATTCAAATAATAATAATACAAATAATATAACAATAATAGCGGTCCCCTGCCACGTGTTCCTTTTTGAAATCATGCCTTTTTGAAATCAAGCTAGTAGTAGTAGCTATATAAATAAAAATCTATATAAAAATGTAATGTTACTACCTCTGAGGATGCTTGCCATAGATGCAGGTGAAACGTCAGGAGAAAATGCCTGTAGAACATGGCCATATAGCCCGAAAAAACCCACAAGAACCTATTGATTCCAGCCATGAAAGCCTTCGCAATACAATGTAATGTTAGTTTGTGTGATTAACATAACTCAAAAACCACTGGACAAATTGACACCAAATTTGGACACAAGACACCTAACAACCCAATGTATGTCCTTCACTCAAAAAAATGATTTTGTCATTTGGGAGTTGTAGTTGCTGGGATTTATAGTTCACCTACAATCAAATAACATTCTGAACCCCACCAACAATGGAATTGAACCAAACTTGGCACACAGTTCTCCCGTGACCAACAGAAAATACTGGAAGGGTTTGGTGGGCAGTGTCCTTCGGTTTTGGAGTTGTAGTTCACCTACATCCAGAGATCACTGTGGACTCAAACAATGATGGATCTGGACCAAACTCTACACAAATACTCAATATGCCCAAATGTGAACACTGGTGGAGTTTGGGGAAAATAGAATCTTGACATTTAGGAGTTGTAGTTGCTGGGATTTGTAGTTCACCTACAATCAAAGAACATTCTGAACCCCACCAACGATAGAATTGGGCCAGACCTCCCACACAGAACCCCCATGTGGGCCACAGCAACGCATGGCAGGGGACAGCTAGTCTATATAAATAAAAATGTAATGTTAGTTTGTAGGATTAACACAACTCAAAAACCACTGGACGAATTGACACCAAATTTGGACACAAGACATCTATAAGGCCAACGAGTGACCATCACTCATAAAACAATGAAAAACACAGCAGGAGAGACTTAAAAAGCAAAAAAAAAAAAATCCCACAAAATTGCATTACAACGCATGCGCAAAACACATATACGCCAACACACATATACACAAACGCACACACATATACACACACAAAACACATGTTGCTTGGCCGCAGCAACGCGTGGCAGGGGATGGCTAGTAATAATAATATAATGATAATGGTTGATGGCACCCTGCAAGGAGAAAAGAGCGAGAGGGAGACCATTCAGAAAGGAGGCAAAAATATTCACTTCAGGATAGTAATAATAATAATACAATGATAGTAAAGGTAAAGGTTTCCCCTTGACACGAAGTCTAGTTGTGTCCGCTTCTGTGCACCACAATTGAAGAGATATTGACAAGCTGGAATGTGTCCAGAGGAGGGCCACTAAAATGATCAAGGGTCTGGAGAACAAGCCCTATGAGGAGCGGCTTAGGGAACTGGGCATGTTTAGCCTGAAGAAGAGAAGGCTGAGAGGAGATATGATAGCCATGTATAATATGTGAGAGGAAGCCACAGGGAGGAGGGAGCAAGCTTGTTTTCTGCTTCCTGGAGACTAGGACTGGAACAATGGCTTCAAACTACAAGAGAGGAGATTCCATCTGAACATGAGGAAGAACTTCCTGACTGTGAGAGCCGTTCAGCAGTGGAACTCTCTGCCCCGGAGTGTGGTGGAGGCTCCTTCTTTGGAAGCTTTTAAACAGAGGCTGGATGGCCATCTGTCAGGGGTGCTTTGAATGCAATATTCCTGCTTCTTGGCAGAAGGGTTGGACTGGATGGCCCATGAGGTCTCTTCCAACTCTTTGATTCTATGACTCTGGTGCTCATCTCCATTTCTAAGCTGAAGAGCCGGCATTATCCGTAGACGCCTCCAAGGTAATGTGTCCACTGGCATGAATCATAGAATGAAAGGGTTGGAAGAGACCTCATGGGCCATCCAGTCCAACCCCCTGCCAAGAAGCAGGAATATTGCATTCAAATCACCCCTGACAGATGGCCATCCAGCCTCTGTTTAAAAGCTTCCAAAGAAGGAGCCTCCACCACACTCCGGGGCAGAGTGTTCCACTGCTGAACGGCTCTCACAGTCAGGAAGTTCTTCCTCATGTTCAGATGACTGTATGGAGTGCTGTTATAATAGTATAATGATGTTACTGGTTGGGCCCCTCACCTCCGGGGTCTTGCTCGGGCGCCCCTTCCTCTTCCTTCCCTCGCATGCCGCCATCCTTCCAGCCTCAGTCGCTAGGAAAACGCAGGCTGCTCCCGCACGTGTAGGCCTCGAGGGGGAAGAGGAAAGGGAAGGACCCCGCGTTGGGGCGCCTAGCGAGGTGCCTGAAAAAGGCGGGCTCAAATCCAGGTCAAGCCGCCCACAGAATCACTGTGGGGCTTTGGGACAGCGCAACAACAGAGAGGAAGCAGGCAGGGACATCTAATTACCTCTCAACAAAAGATTGCCCCAGGCACAGTCAGGCCATTGTATGCTAATCAAGGTGATCAGTTGAAACATTCACTCTCGCAACCACCATGTCAGACTACACAGAGAAGCCACTGAAATCCACAAGCATGTGGACAATCTCAACAAAAAGGAGGAAACCATGAAAATGAACAAAACCTGGCTACTAGTATTAAAAAAACTCTAAAATTACAACACCTAAACAACAGAGGGTAAACAATCAGGGACATCTAATCACCTCTCAACAAAAGATTGCCCCAGGCACTGCCAGGCCATCAAATGCTAATCAAGGTGGTCAGTTGAAACATTCACACCTAGCTCTAGCAGACAGGAGTCCTTTGTCTCACCCTGGTCTTTCCACAGATATATAAACCCTTTTGCGTAATTCCAACAGACCTCACTATGGATGCTTGCCATAGATGCAGGCGAAACATCAGGAGAGAATGCCTCTGGACCATTGCCATACAGCCCGAAAAAACCTACAACAACCCACCTTTGCAGTAGCTTACGAGAAGCTCGGCCTGTCATTGAACATAGAGAAAACCAAAGTGCTCTTCCAGGAGTCACCGGCCAATCCCTCTCCAATGCCAGTAATACAGCTTAATGGTGTAACATTAGAAAATGTGGACCATTTCCGCTACCTTGGCAGCCACCTCTCCACCAAAGTCAACATCGACACCGAAATACAACACTGCCTGAGCTCTGCGAGTGCAGCATTTTTCTGAATGAAGCAGAGAGTGTTTGAGGACAGGGACATCCGTAGGGATAACAAGGTGCTTGTTTATAGAGCTATTCCCCTCCCAACCCTGCTATACAACTCCTCTGTTGCACCAGCTCCACTGGCTGCCAATTTGCTACCGGGCACAATTCAAAGTGCTGGCTTTAGCCTTTAAAGCCCTAAACAGTTCTGGCCCGACTTACCTGTCCGAACGCATCTCCTCCTATGAACCAGTTAGGACATTAAGATCGTCTGGGGAGGCCCTGCTCTCGATCCCGCTGGCTTCGCAAGCACGCCTGGTGGGGGCGAGAGACAGGGCCTTCTCAGTGGTGGTCCCTCGGCTGTGGAACGCCTTTCCTACGGATATTAGATTGGCCCCCACCCTACTGGCATTCTGGAGGAGAGTGAAAACCTGGCTGTTCGAACAGGCATTCAACTAGGCAGTGCAATTGATTATTGGAACACGGAAAATGGATATGGAGACTGGATTCTGATTTGATAGATGAGACGTGATGGATTTGTTAAATTGATGTATTGATGTTTAATGTTTAATTGCTTTACTTTTAAATGTCCAATTATTTTGTACTGTGCATATTGAAATCGTTAACCGCTCTGAGTCGCCTAAGGGCTACAAGTGAAGCAAATAAATAAATAAATAAATAAATAAATATGCCTGCGAAACGTGGAATGTCTACAGACGTCACACGCAACTCCTGGAACGATTCCATCAGTGCTGCCTCCGGAAAATCCTGCAAATCTCTTAGGAAGACAAGTGGGAAAATGTCAGTGTGTTGGAAGAAGCAAAGACCACCAGCATTGAAGCGATGGTCCTCTGCCATCAACTCCGCTGGACCAGCCACATTGTCTGGATGCCTGAGCACCGTCTCCCAAAGCAGTTGTTCTACTCCGAACTCAAGAATGGAAAACGGAATGGGTTGTTGTAGGTTTTTTCGGGCTGTATGGCCATGGTCTAGAGCAGGGATCCTCAAACTTTATAAACAGAGGACCAGGTAACAGTCCCTCAAACCGTTGGAGGGCCGGATTATAATTTGAAAAAAAATATATGAATGAATTCCTATGCACACTGCACATATATTATTTGTGCAAATAGCACTTAAAAACAATACAATACTTAAAATGAAGAACAATTTTAACAAATATAAACTTATTAGTATTTCAATGGGAAGTGTGGGCCTAATTTGGCTGATGAGATAGGATTGTTGTTGTTGTTGTGTGCTTTCAAGTCTTTCCTACCTGGCGAGGGCCGGGTAAATGACCTTGGAGGGCCACATCTGGCCCCCGGGCCATAGTTTGAGGACCCCTGGTCTAGAGGCATTCTCTCCTGACGTTTCGCCTGCATGTATGGCAAGCATCCTCAGAGATAGTGAGGAAAACGGAATGTTGGTGGGCAGGAAAAGAGATTGAAAGATGGGCTCAAAGCCAACCTTAAAAACTGTGGCATAGACACCGAGAGAAAACTGGGAAGCCCTGGCCCTTGAGCACTCCAGCTGGAGGTCAGCTGTGACCAGCAGTGCTGCAGAATTTGAAGAGGCACGAATGGAGGGCGAAAGGGAGAAGCGTGCCAAGAGGAAGGTGCGTCAAGCCAACCCCGACTGAGACTGCCTTCCATCTGGAAACCGATGCCCTCACTGTGGGAGAAGATGCAGGTCAAGAATAGGGCTCCACAGCCACCTTCAGACCCACAAGAATACTGATCCTGGAAGACTAAGTAAGTACTAGTTCCCAGCAGCTTGGCTAGTGGAGGGGACACCCAGTCAGGCAAACGCGTTAGGCACCTCTTTGGGGCGGAAGGGGGCGGGGCGTGCGTGGTGAGGGCCCAGGGCCAAGATGGCGGCGGCGGTGAGGGGGCCGGCCTGCGCTCCTCCTGGTCCTCGTCCTCGCCCTGCTTGGCGGCGGAGGGAGCCCTCGGTGCGGCTGCAGGGGGCGGTGAGCGGCGGCGCGGAGCCCTTGGCCTGGTCCCAGGACAACCGCCTGGCCGTCAGCGCCGCCCGAAGCGTGGCCGTGCTCGAGCAGCTCAGCCGGGAGGCCCCCCCGCCGCAGGGAGACGGGCCGGCCTTGGCCCTCCAGGCCCTCGCCCAGCCCGGGCTCCTCCTCCACCGCACCGCCCTCCCGGCCCCCGCCCGCGCCTGCCCGCTCACGGTGTGTACAAGCCTCCCGCCCAGACCCTTCCCCACAGATGGCCAGCCAGCCCCCTGCTTTGTTATTGTAGGCTCATAGCATCCCATTATTATGATGGGGTCCATAACCTCGAAGCCAACCTTTAAAAGGGCCACCCAGAGCAACTCCCGTCTGCTAAAGCACCATCCAATCCCTCCCGACAGATGGCCAGCCAGCCCCTGCATTACTATTGTAGCCTCATAGCATTCTATTATTATGATGAGATCCATAACCTCAAAGAGACCCCTAGGGGCCATCTAGGCCAACTCCCTTCTGCCAGGAAGGAAAAGCACCATGTAATCCCTCCCGACAGATGGACAGCCAGCCCCTGCGTTATTATTGTAGGCTCATAGCATCCTATTATTATGATGGGGTCCATAACCTCGAAGCCAACCTTAAAAAGGGCCACCCAGAGCAACTCCCTTCTGCCAGGAAAGAAAAGCACCATCTAATCCCTCCCGACAGATGGCCAGCCAGCCAGCCTCTGCGTTATGATCGTAGCATCATGGAATCCTGTTATTATGATGGGATTCATAACCTAGAAGAGACTCCCCTAGGGCCATCCAGCTAACCCTCCTGACAGATGGCCAGCCAGACTCTGCGTTGTTGTTATTGTAGCATCACAGAATCCTATTATTATGATGAGGTCCATAACCTCGAAGAGACCCCTAGGGGCCGTCTAGGCCAACTTCCTTCTGCCAGGAAGGAAAAGCACCATGTAATCCCTCCCGACAGATGGCCAGCCAGACTCTGCGTTATTATTATTGTAGGCTCATAGCATCCTATTATTATGTTGGGATCCATAACCTCGAAGAGACCCCCAAGGGCCATCCAGATCAACTCCCTTCTGTCAGGAAATAAAAGCACAATCTGAGCCTTCCCAACAGATGGCCAGCCAGTCTCTGCATTATTGTTGTTGTTGTTGTTGTTGCTGTTGTTCTTATTGTATGATCATTGCATTCTATTATTATTATGGGATCCATAAACTAGAAGGGACCCCCCAAGGGCCATCCAGAGCAACTCCCTTCTGCCAGGAAGGAAAAGCACCATCTCATCCCTCCCCACAGATGGCCAGCCAGCCCCTGCTTTATTCAAATCAAATCATTTATTTCGGTCATAGACCTGCTTTATTATTCTTCTAATTGATTATTGATGATGTGATATTATTCTGAGATCTTGGGGTTGGAAGGGACCCCCAGAGAGCATCCAGCCCAGCCCCCTCCTGCCATAAAGGGAAACACAAACTAATCCTTCTTCACAGATGGCCATCCAGACTCTGCATTGTTATTATTGTTGTTTTTATAGGTTCATAGCATCCTATTATTATGATGGCATCCATAAGGTAGAAACGACCCCCAGTTGACCATCCAGGCCAACTCCCTTCTGCTAGGAAGGAAAAGCACTATCTAATCCCTCCCGACAGATGGCCAGCGGGACTCTTCATTGTTATTATTGTTGTTATTGTAGGCTCATAGCATCCTATTATGATGTTGGGATCCATAGCCTCGAAGAGACCCCCAAGGACCATCCAGACCAACTCCCTTCTGCCAGGAAATAAAAGCACAATCTGAGCCTTCCCAACAGGTGGCCATCCACCTTCTGCTTTATTATTGTTGTTATTGAGCTGCAAAGGCTCAAGGCTAGGGAATCCTGGGAGCAGCCAGGAGCACATTCATCTGAATGAGAAAGGAGCTGTGTGCGGAGTGAGCCAAAGACAAGCCCCCCCCCCCCCCCAAGAGGTGCAGGACCTTGGAGAGCGCATGCCTGCTCATGCTTCAAATGGTGCATTATCAAATTGAGACCTGTTTCATTATCATTTGAAAGGTCTTCTAAACGTAGTTAAAACAGTGAGATAAAACAGAACATTATTCAAATACATACAACAATATATGTCTTGTTTTTTGGTGGCAGGTTAAAACCTTTTGATTCAGGCAGAGAAAAAACAGGGTACAAATAAAAATAGTAAAAAAACCCAGAAATGTTAAACTTTCACATGCATTCGCATTGACGACACTGATGACAGGCATCCTGTTTCCAGGTGGGTCCCAAGAAGGAGGTATCCGAGTGCCGGGAGAAGTTTGCGAGCTCGCCAGACCCGTGGGTGAGCCAGGCCTTTATGCTGGACCGGACGTTCAACCCAGAGGGGAAGGAGCTGCCCCCGCTGCGGGGCTACAAGTACTGCTCCTGGTCACCCTTGGGCTGTGATGCCAACGGCCGCTGCCTCCTGGCCGCCCTGACCCTGGACAACCGCCTGACTGTCCAGGCCAACTTGGACCGGCTGCGCTGGGTGCCACTGGTGGACCTGACCCAGCTGTATGCGGAGAGGCTGCTGGAGAGTGGCTTCCGGCCGGGCCGAGCAGAGGATGGGGCACCCCCGGCCGGTGCACTGGAGGACTTGGCGGAGTTCCGCCGGCGGCACAGCATGCAGCTCCCTGTGCGCATGGAGTGGTCGGGCCTCTGCACCACACAGCAGGTGCAGCGCAACCTAGAGTGCCGCGACGAGGGCAGTGTGCTGCTGGCTGTGCTCTTTGAGAGCGGGGAGGTGGCCGTCTGGCAGTTCCGGCTGCCCTTCGCCGGGAAGGAGTCCATCTCCTCTTGCAGCACCGTGGACTCCGGCCTGACCTCCCCCAGCTCCCTCTCCTGGTGGGAGTATGAGCATGGCGGGCGGCGGATGAGCGGCCTGATTGTGGGTAGCGCCCTGGGCCCTGTCAAGCTGCTCCCAGTCAACCTGAAGGCTGTCAAGGGCTACTTCACCCTGCGGCAGCCGGTGGTGCTGTGGCCGGAGGAGGACCGGCTGCCGGTGCAGAGCCTGCGCAGCGTCCCGCTCTTCCACCCCTTCCAGAAGTGTCCCTGCAGCCTGGTGCTGGCTGCCCGGGGCTGCTATCTCTTCTGGTGCCTGCTGCTCAGCTCCAAGACTGGCCTCAACGTCCACAACGCCCACGTCACAGGCCTCCACACCCGGCCCATCGTTTCCATGGCTGTTGACCGGCAGGATGGCACCGTCTACACCTGTTCCCTTGATGGGCGGGCCCAGCGCCTGGTCCCCATTTTCACCGAGGCGGCACTGAGGTTTGAGCACCAGTTGCTTGACCTTTCGGAGGCTTTGGGCCCCATCCGGACTCACGGCATTGCCCTCAGCCCCTGTGGGGCCTACCTGGCAGCCGTCACCAGCGAGGGCATGGTGCGCGGCCTCCATCCTGTGGCCAAGAGCTACCAGGTCCAGTTTGTGACCCTCAAGACCCCAGAGGAGGCGGCGGCCCAGCTGCTGGAGTCCCCCTCCCAAAGCCTCTTCCGGCAGGTGGACCTCCTGGACCTTGTCCGCTGGGAGGTCCTGAAGGAGAAGCGCATCCCACCATTCCTGCAGGAGGCCCTGGAGAGGAAGCTGGAGGGCAGCAGCATCCCTTCCCCGTACTACTGGCGTTTCAAGCTCTTCCTCCTGCGGGTTCTGCACCAGTCACTGCAGAAGGCGCCTGCCGAGGCTCTGTGGCGGCCCAGCCACGAAGACACCAAGGCCCCCAGACCCGCCTCCGGGGGAGAGGAGGTGGCAGAGGAGGAGGAGGAGGAGGAGGGAGCACCGGAGCCGCTGGAGCAGCGCCTGCGTGAGATCCAGGCCCAGGTGGAGGCCGTGGAGATGCACCTGACGCGGGAGCACATGAAGCAGGTCCTGGGCGAGGTTTACCTGCACACCTGGATCACAGAGAACACCAGCGTGCCCACCCGTGGCATCTGTGACTTCCTGTCCTCCGACGAGGGACACCAGGACCGCACGGCTCAGGTATGGACCACCTTTGGGCTGTCTGGCTATGTTCTAGAAGCATTCTCTCCTGATGTTTTGCCTGCATCTGTGGCAAGCATCCTCAGAGGTTGTGACATTTGTTGGAAACTAGGAAAATTGGGTTTATATATCTGTGGAATGATGTCCAGGATGGGAGAAAGAACCTTTGTCTGTTGGAGTTAGGTGTGAATGTTTCAGTTGGCCACCTTGATTAGCATTTAATGGCCTGACAGTTTTTAGGTGTGGCTTGTTTCTGCCTGGGAAATTCCTTTGTTAAGAGGTGATTAGGTGTTCCTGATTATTTCTTGTCTGGAGTTCCCCTGTGTTTGAGTTTTTTTATTATTTACTGTTATAATTTTAGAGTTTTTTTAGTATTGGTTGCCAGATTTTGCTCATTTTCATGGTTTCTTCCTTTCTGTTGAAATTGTCCGCATGCTTCTTGTGGATTTCAGTGGCTTCTTTGTGTCTTCTGACATGGTGGTTGTGAGAGTGGTCCAGCATTTCTATGTTCTCAAATAATGTGCTGTGTCCAGGTTGGTTCCTCAGGTGCTCTGCTATGGCTGACTTCTCTGGTTGAAGTAGTCTGCAGTGCCTTTCATGTTCCTTGATTCATGACTGGGCAATGCTGCTGCGTTTGGGGGTCCCTATGTAGACTTGTCCACAGCTGCATGGAATAAGGTAGACTCCTGCAGAGGTGAGAGGATCCTTCTTGTCCTTTGCTGAACGTAGCAAACATTCACACCTACCTACAACAGACAAGAGTTCTTTCTCCCACCCTGGACCTTCTAGAGCAGTGGTTCTCAACCTGTGGGTCCTCAGATGTTTTGGCCTTCAATTCCCAGAAATCCTAACTGCTGGTAAACTGGCTGGGTTTTCTGGGGATCCACAGGTTGAGAATCACTGTTCTAGAGATATATAAACCGAATTTTCCTAGTTTCCAACAAGCCTCACAACCTCTGAGGATGTGTGCCACAGATGCAGGTGAAACGTCAGAAGAGAATGCTTCTAGAGCATGGCCATATAGCCCAAAAAACTTACAACAGCCAGTGATTCTGGCCAAGAAAGCCTTCGACAATACAGTGTTCCCTCACTTATCGCTGGTGTTACGTTCCAGGACCATCCACGAAAAGTTAAAATCCGTGAAGTAGGGACGCTATATTTATTTTAATATTTATACATTACTAGCCGACCCCTGCCATGCATTGCTGTGGCCCAGTCTGTGTAGTGTTTTGTGTGTGTATCTGTGTGTATGTATGTGGTTTTACGCATGCATTGTAATGTATTTTTTTTAAAGTGGCATTTTAAGTCTCTTCTGTGGTGTTTTTAAGTGTTTTTATGAGTGATGGATAGTTGTTGGCCTGATAGTTGTGTTGCATCCAACTTTGGCGTCAATTCGTCCAATGGATTTTGAGTTATGTTAATCCCACAAACGAACATTACATTTTTATTTATATAGATTTTAGTAGCTATACACTACTAGCCATCCCCTGCCACGCGTTGCTGTGGCCCAGTCTGTGTATATGTGTTTTTCATGTGTATATATGTGTATGTGTGTATATATATATATATGTGTGTGTGTGTGTGTGTATATATGTGGTTTTGCGCATGCGCTGTAATGTGTTTTTTGTTTTTTGTCCTTTAAAGTCTCTTCTGCTGTATATTTCAGTGTTTTTCTGAGTGATGGTCACTCATTGGCCTGATAGGTGTCTTGTGTCCAAATTTGGTGTCAATTCGTCCAGTGGTTTTTGAGTTATGTTAATCCCACAAACGAACATTACATTTTTATTTACATAGATTTGAAGTCTTCATAAACCCTCCCCACACACTTATGCACTACACAACCCTCCTTGAACGTGTTGTTCACATAATCCTGGGCTCCAGCTTTATCCGCAAGAGGAGCCTCTCCATACAGATAAACGTTCTTAAGCCCATACTGAAAAAAAACGTGAGTCAGCGAAAAGTGAACTGCGAAGTAACAAGGAATCACTGTAGATAGGAGAATCATAGAATCATAGAATCAAAGAGTTGGAAGAGACCTCATGGGCCATCCAGTCCGACCCCTGCCAAGAAGCAGGAATATTGCATTCAAATCACCCCTGACAGATGGCCATCCAGCCTCTGTTTAAGAGCTGTTTGAGGAGCTAAAGACAAGGCCCCGGAGAGGTACAGAACCATTTTCAGGATGCCTTTGGGTCCTCTTCAGCTAAGCCTATGGGCCCTTAGTTTATTTATTTTATTTATTTTGAGTGCTACTACCCCGCCCTTCTCAACCCCCATGGGGGGACTCAGGGTCGCTTACAAAAAGGCACAATTCGATGCCTAACAATTCAAAATACAATACAATATACAATATGCAATACACAAATTTACCGTATAATATCAACAATTATAACTAATTAAAACAGTCAAACAATATACTAGCAGCAATAAAATCATCTTGTGGTCAATGTTCGCCAATTCATAGTCCGTAATCCATCTAGCATTGTCATTATCCTTTCCTACTCTGGTCGTCATTGGTTGTCTTTGTCCATCTGCCAGCTTACCCGAAGGCCTGGTTCCACATCCAGGTTTTTAGCTTCCTTCTGAAAGCAAGGAGGGATGTTGCTGTCCTAATCTCCTCCGGGAGTGCGTTCCACAGGCGGGGGGCCACCAGCGAGAAGGCCCTGTCCCTCGTCCCCACCAGTCTCGCTTGTGATAAAGGTGGGGCCGAAAGCAGGGCCTCCCCCGCAGATCTTAAATTCCGAGGTGGGACGTAGAAGGAGATACGTTTGGACAGGTACGCTGGGCCGGAGCCGTAAAGGGTTTTGTAGGTCAAGGGTTTTGTAGTTCCCAAGCCTGGCTTGTTTTGGTGTGCATTGGAATCCCACTGATGCCCCTGCCTTGACTCAGTTTTTTGGGATGGGAGAAATAGCAAACGATGAGAGAAACCCAAGTAGGGAATGTTTAACATCTGTATGCGACCACTTGCTCAGCTGGTTCGAGGTTTTGGGCTGGAGCGTTATCAGTACGCCGATGACACTCAGCTTGTGCTGAAGATGGAAGGCCGACCGGACTCTGTACCCGATTGTTTCCATCAGTGCCTCGAGGCCGTTACTGGATGGCTGCGTGCCAGCAGGTTGAGGGTGAATCCAGCAAAGATAGAGATCCTATGGCTGGGTCGACCGGGCAGTGGGGATATCCAGCTGCCTACCCTGGATGGCGAGGCACTACGCCCGTCACCATTGGTAAAGAGTCTGGGAGTACCTTTGGACCCTCTGCTGACGATGGAGGCCCGGGTCTCTGCCGTTAGCAGAACCGCCTTTTTTCATCTGCGGCAGGCTAGACGGCTGGCCCCCTTCCTGTCCAGGGACGACTTAGCTACGGTGATCCAGGCCACGGTCATCTCAAGACTGGACTACTGTAACGCCCTCTACATTGGCCTTCCTCTGTCGGTGATCCGAAAGCTCAAGTTGGTACAAAATGCAGCTGCTCGGCTTCTTGCGGGAACTCCGATGAGATGTCACATAACACCAATCTTACTACAGCTGCATTGGTTACCAATTGAGCACCGGATCACTTTCAAAGTGATGGTACTCACCTTTAAGGCCTTGCATGGTCTGGGGCCGATGTACCTGAGGGACCGCCTCACCCCCTACCAACCCCAGAGATCCCTCCGTTCTGAGGACCGAGATCTATTGGAATTTCCCAGTATCAAGACCTTGCGTCTAACAGCAACCAGACGCAGAGCCTTCACAGCAGTGGCACCATCGCTCTGGAATACTCTGCCACCTGAGGTCCGTGCCTTGCGGGACTTACCAGCTTTCTGCAGGGCATGTAAGACATACCTGTTTCGACAGGCTTTTAATGTTTGATATTGTTGCTTTTAAATTGTTTTAAACTGCTCTTAAATTTTGTTAGATTTTAGTCATTCTTGTAAGCCGCTCCGAGCCCCAGGGGAGTGGTGGCATATAAGTTTAAATAATAAATAAATAAATAAATAAATATGGCAGCTTGCCCTCTAGGAAACTGGGAACAATGAGCAACCGCCCACCAGGCTGTTCCACTTGCCAGGATTCCTCTGCCAATATTTGCTCTGCTTCCTGGGCCGGCAAGCCAGGCTCCCCCGAGGCCCAGCTGTTGCCTCCCTTCCCGATGGAGAGGGTGCCTTTATGTTTGCCCGGCCCTGCCGCATCCACCCGCCGCGCTGCTCTGTATAAACAACAATTATGCCGCTCTGCGGTTGTCAAAAACCCTGAGCGTCGCGCGGTTTCCTCTGGATCCTCGAGGCTTGAAAACTCGGCTTTGACAGGCGTTCAAAAGTCTTCCCTCATGTTCTCTGAGCGGAAACATGTGCTTTGAGGCAGAGCCGCCTTCGTGGTGCAGCCATCAGCTCCACGTTCCCCCTTCAGATGCCTGCAATTAAGTTCCCGAGAAGCCCCTTCGTTCCTTCTTTTCCGTTGTTTTCTGTTTCAAGCAGGTTTGGGTTTGTGCGCCTGTGTTCTTCAGAAAGCCCAGCTTGTTGTTGTTGTTGTTGTCTGTTCTCCTGAGCGGAAGGGGCTGACTGTACCTGCTGTGCTTCCCTTCCAAAGGTGCTGATTGGGCATATCTTGAAGAAGATGAACAAACAGACCTTTCCGGAGCATTGCAGCCTCTGCAAAAAGATCCTGCCCTTTGCCGACCCCAAGCAGGCCGTCTGCCCCAACGGACATGTCTGGCTCCGGTAAGCAGGCCATCCGCACCAGCAGCATCACCATCATCTTATTTGTTACCTGCCTCTTTTTGGGTTACAAGAGGCATGCAAATGTCCTGTGTAGTTTTGCAATCAATAATAATAATAATAATAATAATAATAATAATAATAATAATGTAGATCAGACTGCAAAGACTCTGGCACAAGCCAGTCAAGGCGGTACCACGGGTGATTGGCACACTGGGTGCAGTGCCTCAAGACCTTGGCCTGCACTTAAGCACATTCGGCGCTGACAAAATTATCATCTCCTAGCTGCAAAAGGCCACCATACTGGGATCTGCACACATTATTTGCTGATGCAGCACAGCCCTAGACACTTGGGAAGTGTTCGACGTGTGCTCCAATACAACAGCCAGCAGAGTGTCTGCTGTGGACTCATCTTGATGTAGATTATTATTATTATTATGAATTGCAAAACCACATGATTACAATACCTGTAAGGAAAATGTACACAGGAAAAATACAGATTAAAATTCTAATAATAATAATAATAATAATGTAGTTTATTATTATTATGAATTGCAAAACCACACGATTACAATACCTATAAGGAAAATGTACATAGGTAAAATACAGATTATGTACATAGGCAAAATACAGATTGGGAGCCCCCGGTGGCGTAGTGGATTAAAGCACTGAGCTGCTGAGCTTGTTGATCGAAAGGTCGCAGGTTCGATTCCGGGGAGCGGCGTGAGCTTCTGCTGTCAGCCCTAGCTTCTGCCAACCTAGCAGTTCGAAAACATGCAAATGTGAGTAGATCAATAGGTACCGCTCCGGCAGGAAGGTAACGGCGCTCCATGCAGTCATGCCGGCCACATGACCTTGGAGGTGTCTACGGACAATGCTGGCTCTTCGGCTTAGAAATGGAGATGAGCACCACACCCCAGAGTCAGACATGACTGGACTTAATGTCAGGGGACTACCTTTACCTTAAAATACAGATTAAAATTCTAATACTACTACTAATAATAATAATAATAATAATCTACATTATTACGACAAGCATGCAAATGTCCTGTGTGGTTTTGCAATTAATAATAATAATAATAATAATAATAATAATAATAATGTAGATTATTATTATTATGAATTGCAAAACCACACAATTACAATACCTATAAGGAAAATGTATACAGGAAAAATACAGATTAAAATTCTAATAATACTAATAATAATAATGTAGATTATTATTTATTATTATTATGAATTGCAAAACCACACAATTACAATACCTATAAGGAAAATGTACACAGGTAAAATACAGATTAAAATTCTAATAATACCAATACTACTAATAATAATAATAGTAATAATCCACATTATTACAACAAGCATGCGAATGTCCCGTGTGGTTTTGCAATTCATAATAATAATAATAATAATAATAATAATAATGTAGATGATGATGATTATTATTATGAATTGCAAAACCACACGATTACAATACCTATAAGGAAAATGTACACAGGAAAAATACAGATTAAAATTCTAATAATAATAATCTACATTATTACAACAAGCATGCAAATGTCCTGTGTGGTTTTGCAATTCATGATAATAATCTACATTATTGTTATTATTAGAATTATTAGTATTATTAGAATTTTAATCTGTATTTTACCTGTGTTCATTTTCCTTATAGGTATTGTAATCATGTGGTTTTGCAATTCATAATAATAATAATATGCATTATTATTATTATTATTATTATTATTATTATTATTATTATGAACTATACGATTACAATACCTATAAGGAAAATGTACACCGGTAAAATACAGATTAAAATTCTAATAATACTAATAATAATCTACATTATTATTATTATTATTATATATTATTATTATTATTATTATTAATTGCAAAACCACACAGGACATTTGCAGGCCTGTTGTAATAACGTAGATTATTAGCAGTAGTATTAATAGGATTTTAATCTGTATTTTACCTGTGTACATGTTCCTTATAGGTATTGTAATCGTGTGTAGTTCTGTCTCACTGATTTAACAATGTTTTTTTATTATTGTAGGGAGACACAAGCAAAGCCGTCCTGGCAGAGGGCCATCTCTAGGGTCTCCCAGCTCTAGGATTCTATGATCCTATAATATAGGTTGTATGGCCATCTGTTGGGAGGGCTTTGATTGTGTCTCCCTTTAAGGCAGAAGGTTTTGATTGGATGAGCTTTGGAGGTCCCTTCCAACTCTAGGATCTAATAATTTTTGTGTGTGTCAGGAGAAACTGCAGTTGCTTCTGGTGTGAAAGAATTGGCCGTCTGCAAGGATGTTGCCCAGGGGACATTGCCCGGATGTTTTGATATTTTACTATCCTTGTGGGAGGCTTTTCTCATGTCCCCGCCTGGGTAGCTGGAGCTGACAGACAGAGCTCATGTGTGCTCTCCCCAGATTCAAACTGCTGACCTGTTGGTCTTCAGTCCCGCCGGCACAAGGGTTTAACACATTACGGCACCGGAGGCTCCAGGATCTAATAATAATAATAATAATAATAATAATAATAAATAGGAAGAAGAAGATCAACAACAACAACAATAATAAAGCAAGGCTGGGCTGGCCATCTGTCAGGAGGGCTTTGATGGTGCTTTTCCTTTAAGGCAGAAGGGGTTCCCTTCCAACTCTAGGATTCCAAGAGGAGCACAGCAGCACGATCATTATTATTAGTAATGTTATTTATACCCCACCTTTATCCCCGAGGAGGAGACGCAAGGCAGCTAACGATCCCACACTTTAGTCAAGTTTTGAAAAGCCCAATACAAAAGTTTGAAAAAAACAATTAAATCGTAACAGTGTGGTTGAAAACAGATTAAAATACAAACTACCCTTAAAATACCCTTTAAAACTCACAGCCGCCCCCCCCCCCCCAATTTAACCCCAACCTGAGCCACAAGGAGAGGGCGGTAATATGATCATTTATTATTATTATTATTATTATTATTATTATTATTATTATAAGTATTATTACTACTACCATTATTGTTATTATTAGCATTATTATTACAAGTATTATTACTATTACCATCATTATTATTATTATTATTACAAGTATTAGTACTACTACCATTATTGTTGTTATTATTATTATTATTATATTATTATTATAGTAATTACAAGTATCAATACTACTATTACCATTATTATTATTATTATTATTATTATTATTATTATTACAAGCTTTTTTTTTTTTTGGTCGTGTCAGGAGCAAGTTGCTTCTGGTGTGAGAGAATTGGCCATCTGCAAGGGCGTTACCCAGGGGATGCCTGGATGTTTTGATGTTTTATCATCCTTGTGGGAGGCTTCTCTCATGTCCCTGCATGAGGAGCTGGAGCTGATAGAGGGAGCTCATCCGCCTCTCCCCAGATTCGAACCTGCGACCTGTCGGTCTTCAGTCCTGCCAGCACAGGGGTTTAACCCACTGCGCCACTGGGGGCTCACAAGTATTAGTACTCCTACCATTGTTATTATTAGTATTATTATTACAAGTATTATTACTATTACCATTATTATTATTACTACTACTATATTATTATTATAATTACAAGTATCAATACTACTATTACCATTACTATTATTATTACTGGAGCCCCCGGTGGCGCAGTGGGTTAAAGCACTGAGCTGCTGAGCTTGTTGATCGAAAGGTCGCAGGTTCGATTCCGGGGAGCGGCGTGAGCTTCTGCTGTCAGCCCTAGCTTCTGCCAACCTAGCAGTTCGAAAACATGCAAATGTGAGTAGATCAATAGGTACCGCTCCGGTGGGAAGGTAACGGCACTCAATGCAGTCATGCCGGCCACATGACCTTGGAGGTGTCTACAGACAACGCTGGCTCTTCGGCTTAGAAATGGAGATGAGCACCACACCCCAGAGTCAGACATGACTGGACTTAATGTCAGGGGACTACCTTTACCTATTATTATTACTACTATTACCATTATTATTATTGTTATTATTACAAGTATTATTACAACTATTGCTATTATTGTTCTTAGTATTATTATTATTATTTTTATTATTATTATTACAACTATTATTACTGCCATTACCATCATTATTATTACTATATTATTATAATTATTACAGCTATTATTACTGGTATTACTGTTATTATTATTAATATTAATATTACTGTTATTGTTATTATGGAGCCCCCGGTGGCGCAGTGGGTTAAACCCCTGTGCTGGCAGGACTGAAGACCGACAGGTCGCAGGTTTGAATCCAGGGAGAGGCGGATGAGCTCCCTCTATCAGCTCCAGCTCCTCATGCGGGGACATGAGAGAAGCCTCCCACAAGGATGATAAAAACATCTGGGCGTCCCCTGGGCAGCGTCCTTGCAGACGGCCAATTCTCTCACACCAGAAGCGACTTGCAGTTTCTCAAGTCGCTCCTGACACATCAAAAAATAAATAAATTGTTATTATTATTATTATTATTCATTAAGAGGAAGACGTGTTCCTGGTCCGCAACTCCCATCAGCATTGGCCACACATCCTGGCTGAGGGCCCCTGGGTTGCAGTTGAAGACTCTATAGACGGCTGGAGATTCCCCGTTAGCTTGAATTATAGCAGTTGATCCTTGAATAAGAAGAATAATCATTAGAATTACACGATTCCATTGTTTTGGACCTTGGTTGCGTGTGTTTGGTACATGTAAACGCCACGTAATCCCCATCCCGAGGCACCCGGGGGGGGGGGGGGGAAGGCCGCGCATAAATAAATCCAGGGCCGAAAAACACACTGCGAGGGCAGGCAGGCAGCCTCCCTCCTGCGGGGACTTGCATCGTCCCTCCGTCCGTCCGTTCCGCTCCCTGCTCATCAGCCGCTCTTCTTCCCTCCGTAAAACTCTCCTTGGAGATTCGTTTGCCGCGGCGAAGATGCCTTTGAAGCCACCGCCGGAGGTGACAGAGCGGCTTCCCGTCCGCAAAAAGCTCGTGCGGCAATAAATAAGGTGCCGCGGGGACAGCCTGCCTTGACAGCCAGCACGCATTTCCCAGAAAATTAATTTCCCGGGACTTGCAGCCTGGGCTGCCTGCCGGGGGCCGCTCCTAATTGGGATTATATGTTGTGCCGGAAGCAGGGGAGGCTTCAGGATTGCCAGCCAGGAGCCTTGGAGCTGCGCTTTAGGTTGGGGGAGCCTGGGCTTCAGCTGGCCACCCAGAAGTCCTGCTGGAGGAGGTTCAGGCCAGAGGCAGGCCATTCCCGAGTTGCAAACGGCCGACTTGCAAATGACTCACAGTTAAAGGCAATGGGGCTGAGACCACAGACTATCAGAGGAATCTTATAAGATATAATACATATTATATGTTATTGGTATTATTATATTCTATATTATTTTATATTATATAAAATAAAATATTTTATATCATATAAATATTAATATATAATATGTATTTTATATAATATATTACATAATATAATGTGTTATATTATTTTATATATTCAGTTTTATTACATATTAGTATTATTATAATTTAATACAGGCCATGCCCGTGTTACAAACATGTGACTTACAAATGACTCACAGTTAAGGACGATGGGCCGAGACCACAGGCTGTTAGAGGACTCTTATTAGATATAATATATATTATATATTCTTGGCATTATTATATTCTATATTCTATTCTATATAAATTATGTTATAGATATTAATATATAATATAAAATATTGTATTTTATATTATATATTATTATCTATATAAATAAAAATGTAGTGTTCGTTTGTGGGAGTAATAGAACTCAAAAACCACTGAACGAATTGACACCAAAATTGGACACAAGACACCTAACAACCCAATGGATGTCCTTCACTCAAAAAAATTGATTTTGTCATTTGGGAGTTGTAGTTGCTGGGATTTATAGTTCACCTACAATCAAAGAGCATTCTGAACCCCACCAACGATGGAATTGAATCAAACTTGGCACACAGTTCTCCCATGACCAACAGAAAATACTGGAAGGGTTTGGTGGGCAGTGTCCTTTGGTTTGGGAGTTGTAGTTCACCTATTTCCACAGATCACTGTGGACTCAGACAATGATGGATCTGGACCAAACTCTACACAAATACTCAATATGCCCAAATGTGAACACTGGTGGAGTTTGGGGAAAATAGAATCTCAACATTTGGGAGTTATAGTTCACCTACAGTCACAGAGCATTCTGAACCCCACCAAGGATAGAATTGGGCCAAACCTCCCACACAGAACCCCCATGACCACTAGAGTGGGCCACAGCAACACGTGGCAGGGGACGGCTAGTATTATATATTATTGGCATTATTATATTCTATATTCTATTCTATATAAATTATGTTATAGATATTAATATATAATATAAAATATTACATTTTATATTATTTTATATTATATATTATTTTATTACATATTATTATTATTATTATTATTATTATTATTATTATTATTATTATTATTATGAGCCCCCGGTGGCACAGTGGGTTAAACCCCTGTGCCGGCAGGACTGAAGACCAACAGATTACAGGTTCAAATCCGGGGAGAGGTGGATGAGCTCCCTCTATCAACTCCAGCTCCTCATGCGGGGACATGAGAGAAGCCTCCCACAAGGATGATAAAAACATCAAATCATCCAGGCGTCCCCTGGGCAACGTCCTTGCAGACGGCCAATTCTCTCACACCAGGAGTCACTCCTGACATAACAAAAAAATTATTATTATTATTATTATATTACTATTTAATACGGGCTGTGCCCGAGTTACAAACAGCTGGCTTGCAAATGACTCACAGTTAAGGACAACGGGACTGAGACCACAGGGTGTCAGAGGACTCTTATAAGATAAGATTATAATATATATATTATATATTATTGGCATTTCTATATTCTAATCTGTATAAAATATTTTATATCATATAAATATTAATATATAATAATATATTGTATTTTATAGTATATATTATTATATAATATAAAATATTATATTTTTTATTATTTCATATATATTCAGTTTTATTATATATTATTAATATTATTATTATATTATTATTTAATACAGGCCATGCCCGAGTTACAAACAGACAACTTATAAATGACTCATAGTTAATGACAACAGGACTGAGACCACAGGGTGTCAGAGGACTCTTATAAGATAGATTATAATATATATTATTGTTATTATTATATTCTATATTCTATATTTTATTCTATATAAAATATTTTATACAATATAAATATTAATATATAATAATATACTGTGTTTTATATTATATATTATATATATATATAAGCTTTGGATGGCCTCACGCCCTTCCCTGTGTGGTTTTCTTTGCTACCTGGACCACATATATGGCTGGAGTTCCATTGAAAGAATGTCCCTGTCCCGGCTTCCTCACCCACTCAGCGTAAGAGCCCTCCTACAGAATGTCTGCTGTGTGTATGTTGGGGTCTGCCTGTGTCCCGTGTCTGACTGGCTCTGCTCCCACAGGTGCTTCCTGACCTACCAGGCCTGCCAGAGCCTGGAGTACCGCCGGTGCCTCCTCCGTGACAGCATCGCCCGGCATCCCACCCCGGAAGGTGAGCTCCTGGCCAATGGCTTCTCTCAACACGCTCAGGCCCTCCCAAGCAGGCCCTTCTCTCCCTTGGGGCTGGGGGGCTCCCCGGGACCGACCTCCCTCCTTTGTGAATTCATCTTCTCTTTCCATCTTGCTTTCTGTGTTGCTTATGCCATCCCTCCACCCATCATCATAAATCTCCTTTTCTTTCTCCTCTTCTTCCTTCTTCTCATCCTTCTCTTTCTTCCTTCTCTCTTCTCCATTCCTTTCTCCTTCACTTTCTTCATCATTTTCTTCTGTTCTTCTCCTTCTCCTTCCTTCTCATCCTTCTTTCTTTCTTCTCTTCTTCCCCTTCTTCTCTTTCTTATCCTCCTTCTTTCTTCTTCTGTTCTCCCCTCCTACTCTGTCCCTTTCTCCTTTTTCTTCCTTCTTTCTTCTCCTCCTCCTCTTCCCTCTTCTCCTACTTCTGCATTCGTTCTTGTCTCTTCTCCCCTCCTCCTCCTCTTTCTCTGTCCCTTTCTTCTCCTTTTTCTTCCTCTTCTTCTCCTTTCTTTCTTCTCTTCTCCCCTCCTCCTTTTCTATCATAGAATCATAGAACCAAAGAGTTGGAAGAGACCTCATGGGCCATCCAGTCCAACCCCCTGCCAAGAAGCAGGAACATTGCATTCAAATCACTCCTGACAGATGGCCATCCAGCCTCTGTTTAAAAGCTTCCAAAGAAGAAGGCTCCACCACACTCCGGGGCAGAGAGTTCTACTGCTGAACGGCTCTCACAGTCAGGAAGTTCTTCCTCATGTTCAGATGGAATCTCCTCTCTTGTAGTTTGAAGCCATTGTTCCACGTCCTAGTCTCCAAGGAAGCAGAAAACAAGCTTGCTCCCTCCTCCCTGTGACTTCCTCTCACATGGCTATCATATCTCCTCTCAGCCTTCTCTTCTTCAGGCTAAACATGCCCAGCTCCTTAAGCCGCTCCTCATAGGGCTTGCTCTCCAGACCCTTGATCATTTTAGTCTCCCTCCTCTGGACACATTCCAGCTTGTCAATATCTCTCTTGAATTGTGGTGCGCAGAATTGGACACAATATTCCAGGTGTGGAATATTATATTCCACACCCATATCCCTTCTCTCTTCTCCTTTCTTCTTCTCTTTCTCCTCCTCTTTCTTCTTCCTCTTTCTTCTCTTTCTCCTCCTCCTTTTTCATCCCTTTCTTGTATTTCTGTTTTTTCTTCTCCTTCTCTTCTCCTTTTCCTTGTCTCCCTCCTCCTCTTTCTATCCCTGAATGGCTTCTTTTCTTCCTTTCAGATCCAGAATGGATCAAGAGGCTCTTGCAGGGGCCGTGCACGTTCTGCGACTCCCCCGTGTTCTAGAGAGCGGCTTCTGTCTGGGAATGGCTGGCGGAGGGAGAGGCGCCGTGGGCTCGAGTCCCATCAGCCGAAGCAGCTGGACTGCCCGGAGCTGCATTTCAGGGCTTCTCCTAGGAAACCTCCCGGCAGGTGTGTTTGGTGAAACTTTGGCTAAAGGGTTCTGAGGAAGAGGACGCTCCAAAGGCCAGGCTGGAGTGAGCCGGATTGTGTCTGGAAAATTAAGTTATTACCAAGGATGAATGTGTGTGGAAAGACCCCCTTCATCATCCCTGCAATTGAGGGAATGCAGCAGAAGGCGGCCTTCTTCTCCAGGCTCGTTGCCTTTCCCTCCTCCTTCCCCCTTTGGGACTCTTACAAGGGCATTGCGGTCTCCAAAGGGGAGCTGCCATGAGCCTCGGTTTCCCCTCTGGGAAGAGCGCCTCCCAGGGATCCCTGCAGGCTTCGCTCCCTCGAAGGTGTCGGAGGCTCTTGATTGCCGATTCGGCGGCTGGGTTAATTGGATTAAAACGGTGTAAAAGGCTAATTAAATATTGAACAATGCCTCCTTGCGGCGGCGGCGGCTGCAGCAATTTGCCGAGTGAGTCAATCCCTGTCCGTTAAACACGACACAGATGGGTTAAAATAGCAAGCAGTTCGTTGAGGATAATAAAAGCCAAAGCAATAAAAAGTAATCCACAGTAAAAAGGGAAATCCAATTGATTCAAACTCCCACTGTCCGTCAGCACCAAGGAAAGAAGGAGTCCGGATTGCTGGCAGCGGGTCACATTGAGGCACTTCCTCCTCCGAAATTAGGGCCTTAATCAGGAGGCGGGGCCAGATTCCCCCCTTGAGACGTGGTGTCAACGCATGCCTCTCGGTGGCAGAACGGTCCGTAGTTTTCTCCTCGTCTTCAGGCTCCTTCCGAGCGATTTCGATCTCCGTCTCTCCTTCCCGAAGCGGTTCAGGTTTCCTCCTTTGACCTAATTGGGCTTTTTGTATCTCGTTTTGAAAAAAGGGGGGAAATGTTTAATACATGAGAGGCGTTAAGTCAACTAAGCGGCGTTTAAGTTACCGATCTGACCGGACGGCTGGTGCGCTCTCCCCGCCAGGCCCCTCCCACACATAGGAATATTCATGATTTATTTATATGTATGTGTGTATATATATATGTGTGTATATATATGGTTGACTCTGTCGGTGAACGTGGAATGTGTTTTGTACACTGCGAAGGCAGCCCCCATTGACGTGGATCCCTGTCCCAATAAAAGGAAATCACATCAACATTGTTTGCATGTGTGTGCATTTTAAATTGTTTTTTTTTTTTTTTGTCGTGTCAGGAGCAAACGCTCCTGTTGTGAGAGAATTGGCCGTCTGCAAGGACGTTGCCCAGGGGACGCCTGGATGATTTTTGATGTTTTACCATCCTTGTGGGAGGCTTCTCTCATGTCCCCGCATGAGGAGCTGGAGCTAATAGAGGGAGCTCATCCGCCTCTCCCCGGATTCGAACCTGCGACCTGTCGGTCTTCAGTCCTGCCTGCACAGTGCTTTAACCCACTGCGCCACCGGGGATGCTGATATATTAATATTAATTTTATATATATATATATGTATAATTATATAATTAAATAACTCTCTCTCTCTCTCTCTCTCTCTCTCTCTCTATATATATATATATATATATATATAATGATATAATGATATATTAATATTAATGATGTATGCTGATATATTAAGCTGCCTTGAGTATCCTTTGGGAGAGAAGCAGAGTATAAATAAACATAATTATATATATATATAGAGAGAGAGAGAGAGAGAGAATATTATTATGATCTGTTTCGACAGGCCTTTGACCTTTGATATTGCTGTTTTTAAATTGTTTTAAATTGTTTTTAAATTGTGTTAGATTTTAGCCCGTTCTTATAAGCCACTCCGAGCCCCAGGGGATTACATTATTATTATTAAATTATTATTATTACTACTACTATTATTACATACATACATACATGGCCACTCTGAGTCTCCTTTGGGAGAGGTGAAGCACTCTCTCTCTCTCTCTCTCTATATATATATATATATATAGTATATTATTATTACTATTATTACACACATAGCCACTCTGAGTCTACTTCGGGAGAGGTGAAGTAGAATATAAGTAAACATAATTATATATATATATATAGAGAGAGAGAGAGAGAGAGAGAGATTATTATTATTATTATTATTACTATCATTATATACATAGCCACTCTGAGTATCCTTCAGGAGAGATGTAGCGGAGTATAAATAAACATATAGCCACTCTGAGTCTACTTCGGGAGAGGTAAAGTGGAATATAAGTAAACATAATTATATATATATATAGAGAGAGAGAGAGATTATTATTATTATTATTACTACTATCATTACATACATAGCCACTCTGAGTATCCTTCGGGAGAGATGAAGCGGAGTATAAATAAACATATAGCCACTCTGAGTATTCTTGGGAAAGATGAAGCAGAATATAAATAAACATAATTATATTATTATTATTATTACTATTACTACATACATACATACATACATAGCCACTCTGAGTCTCCTTCGGGAGAGGTGTAGTGGGGTATAAATGAACAGAATAATAAATACATATATAATATATTGTATAATAATATTAATAATAATGTAATTAATAATAATGGATATGTAGCTGATTTGAGTCTCCTTTGGAAGAGATAAAGCGGGGTATAAATAAACATCATCATAAATATATAATACAATAATATTGTGTATAAATAATGTAACATAATAATAATATATAATACAACAGTATACTGTAAAATAATAATAATAATTTTATTGGGTTGTTGTGAGTTTTCTGGGCTGTCTGGCCATGTTTGAGAGGCATTCTCTCCTGACGTTTCACCCACATGTATGGCAAGCATCCTCAGAGGGTGTGAGGTCTGTTGGAAACTAGGAAAATGGGGCTTATATATCTGTGGAATACTGTCCAGGGTGGGAGAAAGAACTCCTGTGGGAATGTTGTAGTTGGCCACCTTGATTATTTATTATTTTATTTATTTATTTACTTTATTTATATACCACTTTTCTCAGCCCTCAGGCGACTGATTACTTGATTAGCACTGAATGGCCTAGCAGTTTCAAGGTCTGGCTTCTTACTTCTCACCCACTTCTCCTCATGGCTCAAGGCAGATTCTACACTGCCATATGTCTGGTGGAGGCGTCTTCTTTGGAGGCTTCTAAACAGGCTGGATGGCCATCTATCAGGGGTGCTTTGAATGCGATTTTCCTGCTTCTTGGCAGAATGGGGTTGGATTGGACGGCCCACTAGGTCTCTTCCAACTCTAGGATTCTATGATATATATCTTTCTATGACCTGATGGGCCTCTGTGGGGAGGGATCAGATGGTGCCTTCCCTTTATGGCAGAAGGGCTGGGTGGGGTGGCCTTTGGGGGTCTCTTCCAACTCTAGGATTCTATCACCCATCCATCTACCTGTCTGTCTGTCTATCCATCCATCCATCCATCTATCTATCTATCTATCTGAATCTATAGGTCATCTACAGATATGTCCATGATGTCTATGTCTATATCTATCTATCTATCTATCTATCTATCTATCTATCTATCTATCTATCTATCTGTATCTGTATCTGTATCTGTATCTGTATCTGTATCTGTATCTGTATCTGTATCTGTATCTGAGATATATATATATAGATGATCTATAGGTCATCTACAGATATGTCCATTACATCTATATCTAATCTATTTATATCTATCTATATATCTGAATCTATAGGTCTATCTGTTCTTCTATATTTCTATCCATCTATCCACCCACCCATCTATCTACCTTCCTCTAGATCTATCCATCCATCCATCTATCTTTCTATCTACCTATTAATCTATCTATCTATCTATCTATCTATCTATCTATCTATCTATCTATCTATCTATCTTTTCATCTATCCATCCATCCATCTATCTTCCTGTAAATCTATCCATCCATCCATCCATCCATCCATCCATCCATCCATCCATCCATCTATCTATCATATTCAGGTGTTGTACTCCAGGGCAGGATCGCCTCTGCCTTTAAACAGCATACAGATGGGTTAAAATAGCAAGCAGTTCATTGAAGTATAATAAAAGCCAAAGCAATAAAAAGTAATCCACAGTAAAATGTAAATCCAATTGAATAAAACTCCCACCGTTTGGAATGGTGGGAGTTGTGGTCCAAAACACCTGGAGGGAAGGCCTGATTCAGATTATCTGGCAGTGTAGACTCATAAAGCCCATTTCATGTGGGTTATTATCTGCTTTGATCATCCGGATTCTACGCCAGTGCAGAAAGGTTCCTGAGTCTCGTTATTTAGAGAGCAAAAGCAAGGAGTAAGTCATCCTCATTGCTGGGATGAAGGGTGCAAATCATCACCATCCCTGAAACTTCGCGGAGCATCAGATGGGGGACGATGGGGGTGGTTGTAACCCCCACAAAGCCCTTTCTGTTGGGCATCTTGTTTGGCCGGAATGGGATGCAAGAGAGCTTTCCTCCCAATTATGGGGTCCCTAATTCCTCCCAACCTTTGGAGCAGCAGCGTTAATGGGAGCTCTTACTATGCAAAGCGGATGCAAAGGCCTTCCTCTCCCTTGCTGCTTCCCTGGTAATTAAAAGGGGATGTTGGTGGTGTTAGGGCTTTCCAAGGGAGCGGTTGGGTTGTCCGACAAGAGCATTAGCATGTTCTCCGCCGGCTCAAAGGAACCCCAAGGGATGACCGCTGGCCTGAGACTGGGAAAAAGGCAGAGGGATGCATCTCAATGAGACTGGGAAAAAGGCAGAGGGATTCATCTCGATGCCTTCTTCTTCCTCCGCTTCTCATGCTGCAAAGGGATGAAAGGAAGGAAGGAAAGATGCTCAGAGAACGGGAAGGGAGGGCAGGCTGCTGGGCGGCTAAATTAATTAAGCAGATGCACCTGCCTCGTTAAAAGAGCCGCCTTTTGTTGCCTCCAAACAGTATTTAAATGCGCCGGCCGTTTGTTCCACCCATCAATATTTAGTAGGAACACTCCGGCAGGCGGAGGTGATACCAGCAAGATGTACTACTCCCCATCCATTATTGATGGCCTGTGTTCAGCGGGAAGGAGGTGGGAGCGAGGCAAGCGGGCCAAGGAGCCGCCGCACGCCCGAGCCCTCCCGACAGATGGCCATCGCCCTCGCCACCCTCACAATCTCTCTTTTGTTGTGCCACCCGTTAATCTCTCTTGGGATCTCCCTTCCGTCCCCGCCAACACAAGAGCGACATCTGCCCCTCAAAGCGCCTCCTAATCCCTTCGCTTTGGCAGCCGTAGTAAACGCCAAGATGGAGCTGTCAAGGCTTTCGGGGGGCAATCTCAAGCAGGCCAAGCCGCAATCCTTTTTTGGGTGTCTGCAGGTGTTCCCCAGACACAGGCCTCAATGGGCAGGGACGGGCGTGCCTGCTTCTGATGAACACAATCCCTTTGCTCAGGGAAGGAAACCACTAAACACACAGGGACAGGGCTCAGAAATCTTCCTCCCTTCCTTGCCATCACCTGCCTTCCTTCCATTCCTTTCTGTCTTTCCTTCTTTACCATTTTGCCCACCTTTCTCTCCTTCCTTCCTTCCGCCCTCACTTCCTTGACTTTTCGTTCCTCCCTTCCTCGCCATTTCATGCTTTCCTTCCTTTCCTTTCTGCCTTCCCTTCCTTTCTTCTTTACCATTTTGCCCACCTTTCCTTCCTTTTTTCTTTCTTTCCTTCCTTCCTTCTGCCCTCACTTCCACTTTGTCTTATCCTTCCTCCCTTCCTTGCCCTCTCCAGCTTTCCTACCTTTCATTTCCCTCTTTCCTTCCTTCCTTCTTTGCCATTTTGCCCACCTTTCCTTCCTTTCCTCCTTCCTTCCTTCCTTCTGCCCTCACTTCCTTTCCTCCCTTCCTTGCCTCCTCCTGCTTTCCTTCCTTTCCTTTCCATCTTTCCTTCCTCCCTTCTTTGCCATTTTATCCATCTTTCCTTCCTTTTTTCCCCTCCCTCTCCCCATTTCTTTTCTTTTTCTTTCGTGCTTGCTTCCTTCCTTCTGTCCTCACTTCTGCCTTGTCTTTTCTTTCCTCCCTCGCTTCTCTTCCCATCTTTCCATCTTTCTTTCTGCCCTCACTTCCATCATGTATTTTACTTCCTCCCTTCCTTGCCATCTTCTGCCTACCTTTCCTTTCCTTCTTCCTTCTTTGCCATTTTGTCCATCTTTCCTTCTTTCTTTCCTTCTTCTACCCCCTTCCTTCCTTCCTTCCTTCCTTCCTTCCTTCCTTCCTTCCTTCCTTCCTTCCTTCCTTCCTTCCTTCCTTCCTTATGGCCTCACCTCTGCCTTGTCTTTTCCTTCCTCCCTTCCTGCTCTTCTAATCTTTACTTCCTTCCTTCTGCCTTCAATTCCGCCTTATATTTTACTTCCTCCCTTCTTTGCCATCTCCTGCCTTCCTTCCCTTTCCTTTCTTTTCTTTCCTTCTTTACCATTTTGTCCACCTGTCCTTCCTCCTTTCCTCCTACTACTCCTTCCTTCTTTCCTTTCCTTTCTTCCTCCCTTCTCTTCCCATCTTTCCTTCCTTCCTTCGGCCCTCACTTCCGCCTTGTATTTTCCTTCCACCCTTCCTTGCCTCTCCTGCCTTTCTTCCTTCCTTCCCTTTTAGTCTTTTCTTCCTTGCCATTTCCACCTTTCCTTTCTTCTTTCCTCCCTCTCTCCCCCTTTCTTGCTTTCTTTCCTTCCTTCCTTACGCCCTCACTTCTGTCTTGTCTTTCCTCCCTTCCTCCCTTCTCTTTCCATCTTTCCTTCCTTTCGTTTCCACGTTTCCTTCGTTCCTTCTGTGCTCACTTCTGCCTTGTATTTTTCCTCCCTCCCTTGCCCTCTCCTGTCTTCCTTTCCATCTTTCCTTCCTTGCCATTTTCTCCTCCTTTCATTTCTTCTTTCCTCCCTCTCCCCTTCTTTCCTTTCTTCTGCCATCATGTCTGCCTTTTCTTACACATCCTCCCTTCCTTGCTATCTTTTCTCTGTCTTCTCACTCCCATCCCTCCCTCCCTCCCTCCCTCATCTTTCCATATTTCCTTCCTTCCTTTCCTTCCTATTTCTGTCCTCACTTTCTCCATCTTCATTCCTCACCTTATCCTTCTTTCTTTCCGTCTCATTATGTCCAAACTTCCTTCTTTGCTTGCCATTTTGTCCACTTTTCCTTCCTTCCCTCTCCCCCTTTCTTCTTTCCTTCCTTCCTTCCTTCCTGCCTACCTTTCTTTTCCTTCTCTTCTTCCCATCTTTTCCTTACTTTTCCATATTTCCTCCCTCCCTTCCTTCTTGTCTCCACTTCTCCCCTGTCTTTTCCGCCCTCTCTTCCTTGCTATCTTTCCTCTTTCTTCCTTCTCACTCCCTCCTTCCCTTTTCCATCCCTCCCTTCCTTCTCTTTCCATATTTTCTTCCTACTTCTGTCCTCACTTTCTCCATCTTCATTACTTGCCTTGTCCTTCCATTCTTTCAGCTCAATATATCCAACCTTCCTTCATCACTGATTCAGAAAATGGCACTGGATAGACCACACCAGCTGATTCAGAAAATGGCACTGGATAGACCACATCAGCTGATTCAGAAAATTGCATTGGGTAGACTACATCAGCCGATTCAGAATATTGCATTGGGTAGACCACATCAGCCGATTCAGAATATTGCACTGGATAGACCATATCAGCTGATTCAGAAAATTGCACTGGATAGACCACATCAGCCGATTCAGAAAATTGCATTGGCTAGAACCACATCAGCTCTATACAGAACATATGCCACCCAGTAGTCACCATCTGCTCACCCACAGAAAACAATATTTAATAATCTAGAGCTGCGGAACTTATTTTAGGTCTCACGGCCCATGGATTGGAACAGGGTCCCCGGCGGATTCAGAGGCGGGGGCCGCACCAGGTAGCTCTCGATGTACTCGAAAACGGTCTGGGGGTCCTGGTCAGCATTGAGGACGGCGGTGGGGATGCTGCCCTGGAAGAAGGCCTCCAGGCCCCCCGACAGGCGCTGGTGGCGATCCACGTCCAGTTGCACTGCCTCCTCCGCATCCCTCGGGTGCTGGCGCAGCCGCTCGTGTACCTCCTTGTGTGACGCCGGGCGGAGAAGCAAGTGGAACCTGCATAGGGGTGAGTGCCATCGTCACCATCGTAGTATTATCAAGGGTCCCACCTTTCGGTGACCAGGTCTACCTCACAGCAATAATAATAATAATAATAATAATAATAATAATAATAATAATAATAATAGAGGAGGAGGAGGCCACCCTACTTGGATCTGCGTGCATCATTTGAAAATACGTCACACAGTCCTAGACGCTTGGGAAGTGTTCGACTTGTGATTCTGTGACAAGAAATCCAGCGGATAGATCTCGTTTGCTGTGACATACTGTGTTTTTGTCAGTAAAATAATAATAATAAATTATAGTAAGTCCATACTGCAGCAGTAATAATAGAAATAATAGAAAATTGCACTCCAAACCAGAGCTGACAGCTGGCACAACAAAGCATTGCATGGGCAGTTCCTTGGCAAAATTGAAGGAAAAGTTGATAAGGAGAAGACCTGGTGATGGTTCATGAATGGAACCCTGAAGAAGGAGACAGAAGGCCCGATTCTTGCAGCCCAGGAGCAAGCAATCAGAACCAATGCCATTAAGGCCAGGATCAAAAAAAATCAGCAGATGACCCAAAATGCAGACCCTGCAAGGAAGCTGATGTAACCATGGAGCATCTCCTCAGCTGCAGGAAGAAAATTGCATAGACAGACTACAAACAGAGGCACAACTCTGTGACCCAAAGGATTCATTGGAACTTATGTCACAAGGACATAAGCAGGATGGTAAAGGGGTCATAAACCTGCAAAGGGAGTGGAAAAGGAACATGCAAAAATATTGTGGGAATTTCGATTCCAGACTGACAAAGTTTAAGAACTCAATACACCAGACATCACAATTGTTTGGATGATTGATATCGCCATTCCATGTGACAGTCAATTGAGGAAAAACAACAGGAAAAACTCAGCCTCAAACTGCAAAGACTCTGGGTTAAACCAGTCCAGGTGGTCCCAGCGGTCATCGGCACACTGGGTGTCATGCCAAAAGATCTCAGCCAGCATTTGGAAACAATAAACACTGACAAAATCACGATCTGTCAACTGCAAAAGGCCACCTGACTTCGATCTGTGTGCATCATTCGAAAATACATCACACAGTCCTAGACGCTTGGGAAGTGTACAACTTGTGATTTTGTGATACGAAATCCAGCATATAGATCTCATTTGCTGTGCCATACTGTGTTTTGTGTCAGCAAAATAATAATCTATATAAATAAAACTGTAATGTTCGCTTGTGGAATTAACATAACTCAATAACGACTGGACGAATTGACACCAAATTTGGACACAAGACACCTCTCAGGCCAACGAGTGACCATCACTCAGAAAAACACTGAAAAACACAGCGGAAGGGACTTGAAAAGCCCAAAAAATAAATAATACATTACAACGCATGCTCAAAACCACATATATACACAAACACATATATACACACACACAAAACACATATGCAAAGATTGGACCACAGCAACGCATGGCAGGGGACGGCTAGTCTATATAATAAAACTGTAATGTTCGTTTGTGGGATTAACATAACTCAAAAACCACTGGATGAATGGACACAAATTTGGACACAATACACCTATTAGGCCAGTGAGTGACCATCACTCATAAAAACACTGAAAAAGACAGCAGAAGGGACATACACATTCAAAAAATAAAAAGTACATTACAATGTATGCACAAAACCACACACACACACACACATATGTGTGTGTGTGTGCAAATACACATATATAGACAAATATATACACACATATACAAACATGCAGACAAAACACATGTACACAGACTGGGCCACAGCAATGTGTGGCAAGGGACGGCTAATAATAATAATAATAATAATAATAATAATAATAATAATATCGAGGGCCACCTACCGTTCTCCGGTGACGGGGTCCACCCTGCGGTAAGACAGGCGCTGGACAGCGGTGTCAGCCGAGATGCTCAGGAAGAAGACTCTGCCCGGAAGGAAGGAAAGAAGGAAGACAAAAAAAGGGTGAGGGATGCATTTCAATGGAAGTGGACACATTTAGGGATTTGGATGGGGGTTTCCCGTTGGCCTTTAAAGCCCTAAACGGTTCTGGCCCAACCTACCTATCCGAACGTATCTCGGCCTATCAGCCCACCAGGACCCTAAGATCTTCTGGGGAGGCCCTGCTCTCTATCCCGCCTGCTTCACAGGTGCGGCTGGCGGGGACGAGAGACAGGGCCTTTTCTGTGGTGGCCCCTCGGCTATGGAACGCCCTTCCCATGGAGGTAAGATCAGCCCCCTCGCTGATGGTGTTCCGAAGAAGATTAAAAACCTGGATGTTCGAACAGGCATTTGGTTAATTCGGTGCAATGAATGTAATGATTAAAGGATTGGTAATATGGACGACGAAACTGGATCACGATTTTAGTCAGGAGATGCATTGGATTGTTATTGATGTGCGAATATTGTGTATCATGCTTTTATGGTTTTAAATTGTATACTGTTGATTGTTGTATTTTGTTGTAAACCGCGTTGAGTCGCCGGCTAGGCTGAGAAACAGCGGTATACAAGTATAGCAAATAAATAAATAAATAAATTGAGGAGGGGGCTGCTCCAGGGACTGGGGCGCATGGAAGCTGTGGGTCCAAAGGGCAGGGAAAGAACCTGCTCATGTATTTTATGTAATCTCTATTGTTTTTTAACCGCAATACACTGCTTTGAATCCCACCCAGGAGAGAAAAGCAGGATAAAATTGAATAAGTAAAGGTCAAGGTTTTCCCCTGACATTAAGTCTGGTTGAGTCCGACCCTGGGACTCCGGTGCTCATCTCCATTTCTAAGCCAAAGAGCCGGCCTTGGCCATAGACACCTCCAAGGTCATGTGGTCACTGGCAGGACTGCATGGAGTGCCGTTATCTTCCCGCCAGATCAGTACCTATTGATCTTCTCACATTTGCATGTTTTCAAACTGCTAGGTTGGCAGAAGCTGGTACTAACAGCGGGAGCTCATGCTGCTCCCCAGATTCAAACCTGCCACCAAATGCATTTTAGAAGCAGTGCATTTGGATCATCCTCCTCTCCTAAAGAGCCTGGTCTAGGGGACGCTGGGAGCCATAGTCCGGAAGAATATGTGGATATGCTCTGTTTGCCAGGGGGAGTCGTTTTTGCACATGCGCTGTAGCATCTTTTTGCCTTTTAGTCCTTCCGCTGTGTTTTTATGAGTGATGGCCACTTGTTGGACTGATAGGTGTCTTGTGTCCCAATTTGGTGTCAATTCGTCCAGTGGTTTTTGAGTTATGTTAAACCCACAAATGAAGATTACATTTTATATATGTATATATAGACTAGCCATTCCCTGCCACATGTTGCTGTAGCCCAGTCTGTGTAGATGTGTTTTCTGTATATATATGTGTGTGTGTATATACTGTATATTTGTGTATATGTCTATGTATTTGTGTATATGTGTCTACATTTGTGTATATGTGCACCGGGATTGTGGCACAGCTGGCTGAGTGTCAGCTGCATTAAGATCACTCTGACCAAAAGGTCATGAGTTCGAAGCCAGCCCGGGTTGGAGTGGGTTTCCAACCAATTGTGTAGCCTGTTGTCGACCTTTGCAACCGGAAAGACAGTTGCATCTGTCAAGTAGGAAAATTAGGTACCACCTTAAAAGTGTGGGGAGGCTAAATTAACTGATTTATGAGGCCATAAAGAAGACTCCAGCAAAGCATTCCAGCGGGGAAGCATGCGGGGAATGCGGAAGTGCTTCATCAGCGTCGCAGATGGACGATGAAAGCGACAGCTCCCCTGGCGGCCAGAAAGAGTTAAATAGCCTCTGTGTATGTCTGTATATGTTTGTATGTCAAAAATTGGCATTGAATGTTTGCCATATATGTGGACACTGTAATTCGCCCTGAGTCCCCTGTGGGGTGAGAAGGGCGGATTATAAAAGCTGAAAATAAATAAATAAATAAAATATATGGTCTTGCACATGCGTTGTAATGTATTTTTTGTTTTTTGGCTTTTTAAGTCCTTTCTGCTATGTTTTCAGTTTTTTTATGAATGATGGTCACCCGTTGACCTGAGAGGTGTCTTGTGTCCAAATTTGGTGTCAATCCGTACAGTGGCTTTTGAGTTATGTTAATCTCATAAACAAACATTACATTTTTATTTATATAGAAACTAGCCATCTCCTGCCACATGTTGCTGTGGCCCAGTCGGTGTATATGTGTTTTGTGTGTATATATTTGTGTAAATATGTGTGTTTGTGTATATACATGTGGTTTTGCGCATGCACTGTGGGGTCTTTTTGCTTTTTGGGGGGGCTTTTTAAGTCCCTTCCGTTGTGTTTTTCAGTGTTTTTGTGAGTGATGGTCACTCATTGGCCTGGTAGGTGTATTGTGTCCAAATTTGGTGTCAATTCATCCAGTGGTTTTTGCGTTATGTTAATCCCACAAACAAATATTACATTTTGCTTTTGAGCTGTGGTGTTGAAGGAAAGTTCTGAGAGTGCCTTGGACTGCGAGAAGATCCAACCAGTCCATCCTCCAGGAAATAAAGCCCGGCTGCTCATTGTAGGGAAGGATACTAGAGACAAAGTTGAAGTCCTTTGGCCACATCATGAGGAGAAGACAATTATGGTGGGGAAAGTGGAAGGTAAAAGGAAGAGGGGCCGACCAAGGGCAAGATGGATGGATGGCATCCTTGAAGTGACTGGACTGACCTTGAAAGAGCTGGGGGTGGTGACGGCCGACAGGGAGCGCTGGTGTGGGCTGGTCCATGAGGTCACGAAGAGTCGGAGACGACTGAACGAATGAACAACAGATTATTATTATTATTATTACTATTTATTATTTATTAACTTTATTTATACCCCGCAAAATCTCCCGAAGGACTCGATGCGGCTTACAAAGACCAAGGCCGCCGACAATCAACAACATACAATACACAATAATAATATAATGTTTAATATCAAGAACTTCCTGACTGTGAGAGCCGTTCAGCAGTGGAACTCTCTGCCCCGGAGTGTGGTGGAGGCTCCTTCTTTGGAAGTTTTTAAACAGAGGCTGGATGGCCATCTGTCAGGGGTGATTTGAATGCAATATTCCTGCTTCTTGGCAGGGGGTTGGACTGGATGGTCCAACTCTTTGATTCTATGATTCTATATATAATAATATAGTAATAGTATTGTGTGTGTGTGTCATTTCCAACTTATATTTTAATAATAATGTAATAGTTTGCCAGAATGGATATCCCAGGGTTCCTTTCTCTCTCCTTGAGTGTGAAATGTGCATGAAACCGCTCACAGCCTCCTAGTCGATCTATCTATGCACATAAATAAAAGTGAAAACATTGCATTTTTATTTCTATAGATTGTTGTTGTTGTTATGATTATGGATGTTGATATTAACTTAGGGGCCTGCCTCTGCTTTCACGGCCACCGCTTCCTCTTATCCTGACACTCTAATGATAGTGATAATGATAAGGCCCCGGCTGCACAGCTTTCGGTGTCGATGCCGATCCTCATTCCTCGGCATGACATGATTTGTGAGTCTCAGATCAGATGAAAGCCTTTTGTCGCGCGGTGCCTTTTGTCGCATCCGCCGCCGAGGCTCCCAGCCCATGAAAACCACCTTCTGCCTCTTCAGATGTTGCCGAGAGCGATAATGACTCCTGCTCACAATGTGTTGTGGGGACTGCTCTTTTCGTATGAAAACACACAGAGAAATTAAAGTAAAGGGAAGGAAAAAATAACGTACACACACACACACACATATATCTTTCTCTAAAGCTGAAGATCTCAATGCTGCCAAAGACAGCGGGGGAAAGAGAACCGTTTCCGCGCAGCCTTTCATCCCTTACACTCCAAACATTTTGTTCCTGCTTTGTTTCTGTTGCCCAACAACCGCCTGGAAAACACCGAGATTGTCAGGAAGGAAGCGAGTGAGCGAGCGGATGGCTGTCGGAGGAAGAGGAAGAAGAAGGGGAGGAAGAAGAAGAGAGCGCAAGGGTGGAAGGAACAAATGAGAGATGGGAAGGAAAGGAGGAAGGAAGGAAGGAAGGAAGGAAGGAAGGAAGGAAGGAAGGAAGGAAGGAAGGAAGGAGGGAAGAAAAGGAAGGAAGGAAGGAAGGAAGGAAGGAAGGAAGGAAGGAAGGAAGGAAGGAAGGAAGGAAGGAAAGAAGAGGAAAAGGCCTCAAGGCCTCTTTTTCCTTCTTTCCTTGCCATCTCTCATTTCTTTCTTTTCTTCCTTCCTCTTCATTCTTTCCTTGCCATCTCTCATTTGGTCCTTCACTTCCTTCCTCCCTTGCCATCTGTCACTTCAATTGTTCTTTCTTCTCCTCCTTTCCTCTTCCTTTTTTCTTTGCCACATTCCTCTTTCCTTCCTTCCTTTTTTCTTTTCTTCCTTACCATCTCTCACTTGTTTTTCTTCTTCCTTCTCTTGCCATCTTTCATTTCATTTCTTCCTTATTTTCCTTCCTTCCCTCCCTCTTTCATTCCTCTTCCTTCTTTCCTTGCAACCTCTCATTTGTGAATTCTTTTCTTTCTTTCCTTCCTTCCTTTCCATCGTTCATTTGTTCTTTCCCTTCCTTCCTTCTTCCTTCTTCCTTGCCATCATTCATTTCATTTTGGTCTTTTTCCCCCTTCTTCCTCTTTCTTCTTTCCTTGCCATCTTTCGCTTCCTTCCTTCTTTCCTCTTCCTTGCCATCATTCATTTCATTTGGTCCTTCTTTTCCTTCTTCCTCTTCCTTCTTTCTCTTTTCTTTCTTTCCTTCCTTCCTTTCTTCCTTTTTTCTTTCCTTCCTTCCTTGTCATCTCTCACTTGTTCCTTCCTCTTTCTTGCCATCATTCATTTCATTTGGTCCTTTGTTTCCTTCTTCCTCTTCCTTCTTCCTCTTTTCTTTCCTTCCTTCCTTCCTTCCTTCCTTCCTTCCTTCCTTCCTTCCTTCCTTGCCATCTCTCACCTTTTCCTTCTTTCTCTTCCTTCCT